CTTGGATGTTTATTATGCAATTATATATCATTTTTTGGGACTAACCTAGTGCCCAGTGCTAGTTGTTGTCTTTTGCTTGTTTTTGGCTTTATAGAAAATCAGTACCAGACGGAGTCCAGATGCTACTAAACTTTTTGACGATTTTTCTGGACCAGAAAGGACCCTAGAGCTTCAGGAGAAGACATGAAGAGTCATGAGAGAGCGTGAAGCCTGCTAGGCGCGCCCAGGGGGCGCCCCCTCAGGCTCGTGGGCCCCTCGTGGCACCTCTTGACCTAATTCCACTTCTATAATTTCCCAAATATTCCCAATTCATTAGAGAGCCACCCAAAATACTTTTTCCGCCGCCACAAGTTTTTGTTCTTCGGATATCCCATCTAGAGACTATCGGCCCAGTGGGAACACGGGTACCACGGGCCACCTTCCTACGGCCTAGGAAGGGCCCCTTGGCCCAACTCATGGGGTAGCCCATCAGCGGGTGCTCACGATGCCAATAGCCCCGCGAGGGGCTTCTCCTACGAAGGACTTCATCGGAACTACCATCATAGCAAGCGGAACCGTTAGGCCTCCCTCACACAGCGCCCTCCCTCGAGGCCTCCCGAGGAGCCACGCCGGGCGGGTGCCGCCCATCACATGGGTGACGTCATCCAGGCAGGTGCTAGCCTGCGCGGCCCAGATAGTTTCCCTTTGGTGCTAAGGGAGCCGCTATGCCTACCTGCCCCCAAAGCAAGTCCCAAAGGTTTCCCCTTTGGTGATAGAAAACCAAGACGGTGGCGCAGCAGGATGAAGGTCATCCTGGAGCCCCTGGCACGTCACGGATAAGCATTTTGGCAAGCGAAGACCACCTTTTGTCAGGAGAAGCACCGGGGTGTGTCCCTTTTCGAATTGCCGCCCTATGGTAGCCCTTTCCCGCTCATATTTTCGGGGAAGAGCCCCAAGGCATCGATATAAGGGACTGAGCGGACACCGTAGAAAATGATCGACTCCTGCCCAACCCTAGCGCCGACTAGGAGAAACGGCGCCCACACACCGTGCAAATTGGGACGACCCGGTTTCAAGGCTGCCTTGCCGCTCGTCCCTCCTGTCGCCTTGTTTGCTCAGCAAAGGTTGACTAGTTGACCGCTAAACCATTAACTCTTTCTATAAAAAAATTGAAAATCCAAAAAAATGTGAATACAAAAAAGTTCAGAAATTCAAAAAATGGTTCATTAATTTGAAAAAAGGTTCATGAATTCATAAAAGTTCACGGTGATCTGAAAAAAGGTTCACATTTTTTAAAGTTCATCGATTTTGAAGAATAGTTCATGAAATTGAAAGAACTTCACCTAATTTGAAAAAAAGTTAATCGATTTTGAAAAAAATCATCAAATTTGAAAAGAAGTTGAAAAAAGTTCATCAAAATTGAAAAAAGTTCTTCAGATTTGAAAAAGAAGTTCATCTAATTTTGAAAAGTGCATCAATTTAGAATAAAAAGGTTCACGAATTTAAAACTAAACCCGCGCATTAAGGAAAACAGAAAAATGATGAGATAAAATAAAAAGAACAAACCAAACTAAGAACAAAATTAAAGAAAAAACCAAAGTATCTTTACACCAGTAGGGTGAGAGCCTGCTGGTTAGAGTGGAGTGCTCGCAACAAAGCAGTTACATGTTGATCCCCCATGCCCGCACCTTTGTGAAGTTTCTAAATACAAGAAAGAAAATACAGTGGGCCGGCCCATCTTGGAGTGCTTTAGGCGCCCGTTTGCCAAATGCACTGTAACGGAAGCCTCAAGCGCCAAATAGGATGCACCCGATTATACCTCGCTTAATGCGAGACGGAGGAAGCCATCGATCACCTACATCGCTGTAGCAAGTGGGCTGACCCGTAAATGTTGTGATCTGTTTTCTTCTGTTTCACTTTTCTGTTTTTTATTTGTGTTACTATATTCTTCCCGTTCGTTTTTATTTTAGTTTCCCTTTTAGCATTCATTTAAAAAAATGTTCATCACACATTTATAAAATGTAAATCATGTATTTGAAAAAGTTAGTACATGTCTAAAAAAATGTTTAATGCATACTAAAATAAATAAATTCATATAGAATCACATATATTTAAAAATTGCAATCATGTATTTTTTTAATGTTTCAGGTGTATATGAAATATGAACAACATATATGAAAAAAAGTAGACATCATAATCATGTACTTAAAAAATGTTGACACATCTATAAAAATGTTCCTGATGTAACAAGTAGATACGAGAAAATGTTAATCATGTATTTGGAAAATGTTCAAGGGATATAAAAATGCTTTACATGTATACCAAAATATATAATGCGTACGAAAAAGAAAATACGAATCAAGAACATATATTTTAAAAAAGATGTTAATCACATATTTATAAATTTTTGAAAGTATACACAAAAATAATTGTTTTATATGAAAAATGTCTCACGTTTTTGAAAAATGCTCAAGGTGTATAACAAAATATTAAACATGTATATGAAACTGTTCCTCGTGTATATAAAAAATATACATTGTGTATTACAAAATATTTATTATATATGTTCCTCGTGTATACCTCTATTCCTTTTCATTTCTTATGTATGTTCCTTCAAATCATATGTTTTCCTTCCCTTTCATTCAACCAAGCCCTAAATGATGGAATCGCTAGATGGGCTGAATATATCACACAGTTAGCACACACCAATCATGGATCTTGGCTTTTATATATTCATCTAATTTTAATGTTTCTTGTCAATCTTCTTCTGTGGGGGCACCTAACTTGGGTTTACCTCTCGCATGAGTCATTCACAGGGAAGCCTCTCGTATGGAATTATACATGAAATAGCAAGGAGTTAAGGTTTGCATTAGAAGTGCAATCACTGTTGAAATTATA